GGGAGGAGGGAGAAGAGAAGACGAGGAGAAGAAAAGGAGGAGGAGCAGGAAGAAAAGGAGGAGGAGCAGGAAGAAGGAGGAGGAGGAGGAGGAGACGGAAAGAAAGAGAGAGAGAAAGGAAGAAAAAAGAAAGAAAGAAAGAAAGAAAGAAAGAAAGAAAGAAAGAAAAAAAGAAAGAAAGAAAGAAAGAAAGAAAGAAAGAAAGAAAGAAAGAAAGAAAGAAAGAAAGAAAGAAAGAAAGAAAGAAAGAAAGAAAGAAAGAAAGAAAGCTTGGAGAAGCAGAAAAATGTTTCAAATCCCAAAGAAAATAAGTTCAACTGCCAGGACTCAATTAGAATGTCAGGCCGCTGATTCAGGCACTCAAAAAGGTGGGTCAATGCATTTCTATTACATGCACACACACAAACACACACACACACACAGTATGTAACCAGAGAATCTGGGCCTGTGTTTGTATCCACCCAGAAACAAATACAATGCAGAAATCACCTTTCAAAAAAGGAAACATACTGTTTGCAAACTCTGGTGAGGGACATCTCTGTGTTGTGTTCCAATGGGGCTTGGGTGTGTGTGTGTGTGTATGTCTGGTCCAAGGCAGACTGTCTCCAACCTTGGCAACTTTACGACTTGTGGACTTCAACTCCCATGCTGGCTGAGGGATTCTGGGAGTTGAGGTCCACAAGTCGTAAAGGATGGAGACCCTTAGACTAGAGTGAAACGGTGTGATTTCAGCCTGGTTGAACAGCCACCAAAGCTAGCTTGTTGGCAATCAAGCCATCCTAACTAAGAAGGTGATGCTATGGACAGGAAATTTACAAAAGGTCTTAAAGCAGGGGTCTTTCCAACTTGGCCCTTTTATGACTTGTGGACTTCAACTCCCAGAATTCCTCAGCCAGGCACGCTGGCTGAGGAATTCTGGGAGTGGAACTCCACAAGTCATAAAAGGGCCAAGTTGGAAGACCCCTGGTCTAAAGCAAAGCAGTGTGAAGTTTTGGGAAGAAGAGACAGGTTGAAGCAAAGGGCTTAGGGGCATTGTTCTATCTATCTGCACCATGTTTGTCTTCTATGGACCTCAGGTAGGTGTGCAGCAATTCATGCAGTGCCATGCAGCATCTTTGAAAAAAAAAATCTACATCTTCAACCACAGTTGGACCATGCGTGGCTAAAAGCAAAGAATCATGAGTGCTCCACTCTTGCTGAGTTGGAGGACATCAGTCTGCCTGAACAACGGGTGTTGTTATGTTGGATTCAAGAAACCCATGTCCACTGCAAGGCCATTCCCTCTCTGGCTGTGGTCCTTGTGTTGGTCAAAAAATAATGGCGGGCCACTTTGATGGCAGCGCTCGAGAAGAAAATGAGAAAGGTTAACTTCTTGGAATTGAGCTCGTGGTGACTCAAAGTCAACTTGAAAGATCAGGAGATGTTTTGATGAAACAAAAGTCAAGGTTTGCTGGTCTATCATGGGCACCTCAAGGAGCTTCAGTGACTAAGGATGAGTTAAAGATTTGGCTTTGACCGACAGGAGGAGAATGAAAGATAGAAACTGCAGGGTTCTTCATTCTGGGTAAAAGCCAAGCTAGTCTGCAACGGTCATCAAGGTATTTTGGCCCTTCCTTTCCCACAGCACAGACAGGAGGTGGGGACAAGATTTGATTTGAAGATCACATGGCACCTAACAAGTTTTTCAGAGACAAAACTGAGATTCCAAAGGCAAAAAAAAAAAAAAACTAATTGTGGAGCCTCTGTTGTCATCACTCTCCTCAACATCTTCTAGGCACATGTGGCGAGTTACACTTTGATCTAAAATAGATTGGCCCCCTTCCCAAGCTACAACCCACAAAAGCAAGACAGCTAATTGGAGGTTTTCAAAATGAGGCAACGGACAGATGCACAAAGCTGTGAGAGGCTGGGTGGGTGTTCCTTCTCGTCTACAATGAGTTGTGTTTCCTCGCCTGTTGGCTGTCTTTGTAAGCTACCAAGGCCAAGAATAAGCAACATGGGTACCCACCAGGTCCAATGAAGACCATCACCTCCCTTGTAAGGTAATCTGTTGACTGTAGCTGACTGGATTTGAATCTGTTTTAAGGCAGATGCATGACCTTTACTAGGTAGAAAACTGGGTCTGTGGCATGCTTAATGTTTCCTGTCTTGAAAGACCATCTAGGTTCTTTAAAGAAGGAAGCTGGGCATAGACATAGCAGAGCACCATGGCCCTGGCAACTATCTAGTTTCTAAATGCCTACTGTTGTAAGCTTGATTTTCTTTGCTCCTTGTGAGATCTGGCAGTAGCAAAATCTGGCTTGGTCACAAGTGGGTTTTTACATTCCTTTTTAAGAGAGGCTGCACGGTGCTTGAAATCTATATTCCCTACATAACTTGTCTACCACCAGACTATCCTTCCGTGTCTGTGCTAAGGCATCTTTGATTGCAGGTCCTTCATTGTCAAGACTTAGCTGGGGGGGGGGGGAAGTGGGGATATTCTTTAGCCCCACGAGGCCAAATCCTTCAGCGTCAAATTCAGAAGTCTTAACAGAAGGAAAGCAGAGAGAGTCCTCTATTTCCCCCCCCCCCCTAATGCCTGAATCATTTCTGAGCCTTTACATATACCAGTTTTGCAAAAATTTAATAATGCATGCCGGAGTTTAATATACTGTAACAAGCAGCTGCATCAATAGGAGAAAATGAAGGGGACGAGTAGGAGAAAAACGGTTGGGAAAGCCAACTTCACTGAAAAAAACAAACTTAAACAACGGGGCGACACCAACGGTGTGATAGTGTCCTTTTTCAGACAACGTGGCTGTTGTCTGCTCCAGGAAAGACTCAACTATCTGGGATCCTTGTTCTCAAGAATACAGTAAGAGAAACATCTCCATCTAGGTCAGAATTTCTCAACCTTACGAAGTGCACAAAATGAGAATATTCACTTTGAATTATAGTCATGGTGGTTTGTGTGAGTTAAAAGGGGGGAAAGGGATCCTCTCTCAGCACCCTTGCCCCAAATGAATAAACACACTATCTGGGGTGTGTGTGTGTGTGTGTGTGTGAGAGAGAGAGAGAGAGAGAAAATTACTTATTTCAATTTTCCTGCAAGTTTCCATCACTCTTCTCAACAGAGACAAATTTTTGAATGTGAATATATATATATATTATATTGCTTCTCAGCTATATTATATGCGTAAAATTGGAAGTGTCTTGGCAACGTTTCGACGAAGTCTCATTCGTCATCTTCAGGCTGGTGTTTTCAGTTTCGTGCTTCTAGGAGCAAATGAAGCACGAAGCTGAAAACACCAGCCTGAAGATGACGAATGAGACTTCGTCGAAACGTTACCAAGACACTTCCAATTTTACACGGGAGAAAACCCGAACAACCAAAGACCTACATATATATATATATATGTTTTCTGAGGTTTTCGCGGGTATTTGTATGTAGGTCTTTGGTTGTTCGGGTTTTCTCCCGCGTAAAATTGGAAGTGTCTTGGCGACGTTTCGACGAAGTCACATTCGTCATCTTCAGGCTGGTGTTTTCAGTTTCGTGCTTCTAGGAGCAAATGAAGCACGAAGAAGCACGAAGCCGAAAACACCAGCCTGAACATGACGAATGAGACTTCGTCGAAACACTTCCAATTTGACGCGGGAGAAAACCCGAATAACCAACGACCTACATTATATATATATATATATATATATATATATATATATATATATATATATATATATATATATATATTCACATTTTTAATAAAAAAGCTACGTTAATACATTCTACTGAATTACAGAACCATTTTGCTGGATCCTGGTTATTACCCCTCGACTTTTCCATACAATGGACAAACAGATCAAAAATCTCGCACGCCACACAGAAACCCTCTTTTGTACAAGAATTAGCGACCAAAAAAAAAGCAGCATATAACACTGTTTTAGAATCCTTCCTCGCCTCCCCCCAAACTTGAGAATTAAAAATAACCCTCTGAAATATCTGGCATCGTTTTCCCCAAATGTAACAAAAATATACCCTGTAGATCAGTGTTTCTCAACCTCAGCCGGTTGAAGACGGGCGGACTTCAACTCCCAGAAGTCCCCTGGCTGGGGAAACGCTGGGGAACACTGGGAGTTGAAGTCCATCCTTCTTAAAGGGGCCAAGGTGGAGGAGCACTGCTGTAGATGAAACCAACAGCAGCGTTTTGAGAGTTTGGTGCATTTTAATAACTGCCTGTTGTGTTCTCCATCCGTAGGCAATCCCTAATGTCCAGAGGAATTCTCTCGGATGGATATCCCAACTTCTTCTCCCCACCGTCCCAAACAAACTTATCTCTTTTGGTTTTTCTCCTTGACATCTATCTCTGCACCCCAAGTTCCTGCTTCTAACATGTTCCAAATTCAGCTGCACACTTCCAAGTCTAGAAGGGCACAGAACATGGGGAACAGCCCTATTCTCCTGTTCTGAATGACCAGAAACGGGATCTGTTAATTCATTGGGTCGCCCTGGGTCATCTTCTCTAGATGACCACCACACGCAGCTCCACTACGGTGGTCCCTCACTAAGCTAAGATGAGGAGATACAGGAAAGAGGGGTTGAATGATCTGTGTTTCAAGTATTAGGTCAGGAGCTGAGCTCGAGAAGATACAGATGCTGAACCTCAACAAGAGTTGACCAAGCCAACACTCTTCCTTCACCTTCTTTCTCTGCTGGGCTGAAGGCCAAAGTTGACGCAGAAGATGATACCCCCTGAGTGTTGGTAGACTTTGCCAACTCAAAGCCCCTCTTTCTTGGCCATCAGCTCTCATCCCAAGTGGAATGGGGGGGGGGGTTCCAATTCCTGGTTGTTTTTTAAGGCTTTAAACCTATTAGCTTTCTTCTGTTGTGATTTTCTATACCTTCTTTCTAAAGGTCATAAAATATTAAACAACCCCCCCCCCCAAAGGAGACAAGTTCCCAGAATCCCCTGGCCCGGGCCCGTTCCATAGCCACCACATCCATCTGTCCATTGGTCTTCCTGTCATGGCCTTCTCTCTTCTCATTCACTGTCTGAGAGGGTCTCATACTGTGAAACCAGCAGTGGTTTGGGCTCTTCTTCCCAACTGTGGTTCTGGCTTCCGGAGTTGCCCTGTAGAACGGTGGCAGTGGGGGGTGGTGGGCCGGTCACGACTCCTGTGGAAAGTCTCACCGTCAAGGGGTTGTACGGAAACGGCGTTGAACCTGCAGGATGACGAAAAGGAAGGTGGGAGAACAGCGGTTGAGGGTTCTGGTCCATGAACTGTGTAGAAAGTAGCTTTAGGTGTGTGCAAGACGCCCAACCCATCTCACATCTCCTCACACTCACAGACACCACCCCAAGAGCTCTCCCTTTTGAGGAGATCTTCTCACGCGAAAGAACCAGGATTATCTGTAAAGACCCACCCCACTTTGCATCTTAAGAAGACAGAACTCTTGGAATAGTTCTTCCAACAGGCATCCTTTATTAAGAGAAAATGGTTGCAGGCGTTCTAGACAGGACTTGGGGTCCAAGCTCTCCCATTCAAGGTTTTAAGGGGTTCCCCAGTAGCCCCACCCAATCACCCCTTCTTCCAGCGACAGTCTCAGGCATTACACTCCCACCCCCTTTTCCTTACTGCTGGCTGAATGGAGACTTCAGAGAGAACTACATGAAGGTAGTAGCCCCATTGTGATGGTTAGTCCTTTTGGTGATATACACATCCAGTTCCTTTGAAGTGTACCGAAGGAAGTGAGGCCCATAAAGCCCCTTTGTTCACCCCCTTCCCTTCATCGTATGGCAGAATCCATAGAAGGCAGAAATGGGTTTTTTTATAATTGATAACTAGAGATGAAATATAATTGGATTCTGACATTATCCCTCTCAGCACCACAGAATTCCATCAATGGGGGAGTTTATAACTTTTGGAAAGGGGGAGAAGAGAAGGACTTCTATGCATGAAGTTGTAAGGAGGTATGTTTAGGAGGGTCCGCATGTCAAGATTCCAACTGAAGAACCCAGCCAAGCAAACCCCTTCGAGACATTCCAATCTCTTGATGCAAAACTTTATTGAGTACATCACTTCGGTGCTAATGAAAGCAAAACCAGCTCTGGAAAGTCCCCTCCCAAGCCCATACAGTAAAAGCAGAGAATTCTTCCTCCTCCCTCCTCATTAGGTTGCCCAATCAAGTAGAAAAATATTGTTATGAGAAAGCATCTCTAGATCCCGCCAGACATCTGTTGTAATGTCCTTGAGTCTCTTCAAAGTCTGCAATCCAAACCTCTCCCCTTCCCCCCCCCCCAAGTTTTGTTGGCAAGCTGAGAAGCAATATTTGTCCCACCAGCAAAACCGTGCTTCGAAGCTTGTCAAAAGTCTCTGGTTGGAATGTTCTCAGAGGGAGATATCCCAGATGAAGCTCTAGAGAAGTAGCCAGGGCACCCAAGACTGGACAAACCAGGTCAGATTCTCAGATACCACTTGATGGTCATCATTCACTGTCTCACCATGGATTGATCGACCTCTGATAAAATGGCACCATGCATAAATGGGGTAAGAAATGAAATTCCAATGCTATCACCTGGAGAAAATGTCATCTAGCTCATGGAAACGGGTTGATTGGTTGATTGGTTTGCAGTCCACTCTTCCTTGAGGAGCAAAAAGGTGTGTACAAACCCCCTCCTCTTTTTCTAAGTAACAAATCTGGAATCTAAGCTGGCCTGACAAAGAGTGGCATGCCTAAAGCCACCTTGAGAACTTCCGCAAGGAGGAAGAAGGAAAATCCAGGTGTCCTTGGGCTCAACATCTTCATACCTACATCATCCTATCTTCTCAAGGTCATCTACTGCCCTGCTTTCACATGTCGACATTGAATGAGATTGACATCTCATGTCTTCCAAAGCTTTCCTACAACATCCCCGTGTAGGATTTAGTTGGGCCAAAACAGAAGACCCACAGTCACTTGAGGACTTCTGTAGCTACAGACATTGAACCCAAGTCTCCTCATTCCAGGTCCAATCCTTCAACCACTCCAACCTTGATGGCTTTCTTAATATTTGGGCCACGGTCTACTCTGGCTGGTTGCTACCGTGTTTCCCCGAAAATAAGAACCGGTCTTTTTTTTTTGCGTCCAAAAGGGGCATTAGGCCAGGGGTAGGCAACCTTGGCTCTTTGATGACTCGTGGACTTCAACTCCCAGAATTTCTGAGCTGGCATGGCTCAGCTTGGAAACCTTTCCCTTTCCCCTCAGCATGGCTGGCTCAGGAATTCTGGGAGCTGAAGTCCACGAGTGATCAAAGAGCCAAGGTTGCCTATCCCTGCACTAGATCTTATTTTGGGGGGATGTCTTACCTGCTTATAGGAGGCAGAGGCCATGTGGTGTGTCGCGCCAATGCCGTCGCTTCTGGCATGACACATGACACATCGCGAAGGTGCCACCACTCATGGCAGGAGGCTATGTGGCGCATTGCGGCGACGTCACTGCTCGCAGGACATCCTGTGGCGCGTGGCACCGGTGCTGCCGCTCGCACCGGTGCCACGCGCCATTTGGCGTCCTGCCACAAACAGCCACCAGCAACTAGAAGAAATGGACGGGGATGTTGTTGCCGCCGCTGCGAGGCAAGGCGGGTGTCGGGGTGTCAGAGGCCTGGCTACAAGGGCCCTGAGGTAAGCGGATGCAGAGCGCGTGGGCAGCTCCGCTCCCTAGCTTGATTTTTACGCATGCATCTCGCCCCACCTCGTACCACCAGACATGGGGACAGAGTGGGTGAGGTCTTACTAGGGCTTATTTTGGGGGATAGGGCTTATTAGACACACACGTAAAAAATCAAGCTTAGGGTTTATTTTCGGGGAGACGCGGTACGACGGATAATGCATTTCCCAGCCAAACTGAACATGCCACAACCCGCTTCTCTGCGCCTCCTGACACTCCTGGGAACTGCAAACCTGGGACAGAAGGACGTGGCAGTACCTGTGGATGATGGCCTGTCCTCCCAAACACGGTTGGTTAGAGGTGTCCTCCTGTTACAGTCCCCCTCGGAGTGAACGGACGAAACGGATGGAGGCCGCTCAATGGAGGAGGACAGGCCGGGAGCTGGAGATCTGGCCTTCCGACTGTTGGCTCGGGCGGCAGACTTTGCTTTCCCTCCTCCTGTGGGAAAAAAAACACAACCTTTTTCCAATTCCCAGGAGAAAGTCACACCCCGTCGAACGGGCGGAAAGGAGCTGGGTGCCCTCCCAATGCCATCTTCCAGGGACTTGATCACAACAGGAGAACAACGAGGCTTAGCAGAGAGCAGGAAAAGAGAGGAGGGTGGGTGGGCTGAGAAACAAAGAAAGACCTCCCCCCATTTCACCCACACTACAGGCAGTCCTCGACATACAACAACAATGATGTACGGGATATGTTTCTGTGTCTGTACATCGATTGGGACAATTTCTGACCTAATTAATGACTGTCACCTACGACTTCATTTGAGGCTGTAAGGAAAGGGGTGAATGGCCCAGAGCAGGGGTAGGCAACCGTGGCTCTTTTATGACTCATGAACTTCAACTCCCAGAATTCCTGAATCAGAATGGTGGAAACTTTGGCCCCCTTCAGGACTTGTGGACTTCAACTCCCAGAATTCCTGAGCCAGCAGGGTTCATCTTGGAAACCACACCCTTTCCCCTCAGCATGGCTGACTCAGGAATTCTGGGAGTTGAAGTCCATGAGTCATAAAAGAGCCGAGGTTGCCTACCCCTGGCCCAGAGAGATTCCTCTTTTGTCTTCAAGAATGCACCCTCATGAAGGACCCCAATGGTCATCGCCCAAGACCGAGCTAGCCTAAGGAGGCCACCACAATATTCTGTCCCAATAAAGGAAAATATTTGTAGCTCAGGGTGGAAATGTGGAGTCCTTGGTGCCCTCTGAGCTTGGTTGTTTTCTTGTAGACATTTCATTACCAAAGTAGGTAAAATCATCAATGCGAACACTAATCAGCTAGTACTAGCACTGATGATGTTACCTAGCTGGGTAATGAAATGTCTGCAAAAAAACCAACAAGCTCAGAGAACCCCATAGTCCGTCCCTCCTTCCCTCCTTCCTTCCTTCCTTCCTTCCTTCCTTCCTTCCCTCCTCTCCATAAATTCCACTTCCTTTTAGCACTGATGATGTTACCTAGCTGGGTAATGAAACGTCTGCAAGAAAACCAGCAAGCTCAGAGAGCACCTGGGACCCCATAGTCCTTCCTTCCTTCCTTCCTTCCTTCCTTCCTTCCTTCCTTCCTTCCTTCCTTCCTTCCTTCCTCCCTCCCTCCCTCCCTCCCTCCCTCCCTAAATTCCACTTCCTTCTAGCACTGATGATGTTACCTAGTTGGGTAATGAAACATCTGCAAGAAAACAAACAAGCCCAAAGAGCACCAAGGACCCCATAGTCCTTCCTTGCTTTCCTTTCCTCCTTCCTTGCTTTCCTCCCTCCCTCCCTAAATTCAATCCCTTCTAACACTGATGATGTTACCTAGTTGAGTAATGAAACGTCTGCAAGAAAACAAGCAAGTTCAAAGAGCACCCAGGACCTCATAGTCCTTCCTTCCTTCCTTCCTTCCTTCCTTCCTTCCTTCCTTCCTTCCTTCCTTCAATTCAATCCCTTCTAGCACTGACGATGTTACTTAGTTTGGATAACGGAGCGTCTGCAAGAAAACAACCAACCTCCGGGAGCACCCAGGACCTCTCAAAATGTTTTATCCACCCTCGTCCTAACAGCAATTTCCCCTCAATCTAAACCATCCACGCTTTCACCTTGCACGATTGGTAGTTCTCCACTTACAACCGTAAAGGGTCGTAATTTCCTTGCAAGTCATGACGGTCGTAAACCAAGGCACCCATGTGACCGGACCAGATTTTTTGATATATATATATATATATATATATATATATTTGCAGCTATTGTGAAGTGAATGAGGTGTATACGTAGTCCTTGGCTTAGGAAATCGAGCCCCAAATTTCCATTGCTAAGTGAGTCAGTTGCTAAGTGAATTTTGCCTCATTTTACGACCTTTCTTGTCATCGTCATTAAGTGAATCACTGCAGTTCCGTTAGTAACACGGTTATTCAATGAAATCTGGCTTCCTCGCTGATTTCGTGAGAAAGTCACAAAAGGGAATCGCATGATCCTGGGATAATGCAACAGTCATAAGTACATGCCAGTTGCCAAATTCTGATCACATGACCATGGGGATGCTGCAACTGTCGTTAAATGTGAAAAAACTGTCAGAAGTCACCTTTTTCAGCTCCTCTGTAACTTTGAACTGTCACTAACCAAATGGTCAAGGACAGCCAAGGACTACACGTACCTATACCCTTTGTGAGCAAGGGGTGGCATTATTGTCCCGTCCCAGACTGCCTGGGGTGAACCCCAGAGTATTTCCCACACACCCCAATATTTCTAACCACCAAGTCATCTGGACAGCGGGAAAACGGAGCGATGAACAAAAAACGAAGAGGGAAAGGAGAGACAGCCCAACGGTCAATGGTATTATCGCAATGGTTCTCAACCTGTGGGTCAGGACCCCATTTGGGGTCAAACGACCATTTCACGGGGGTCGCCAAACAACGCAGTCCGCCATTTTTCCCCCCTTTTCCTTAGCTGTGCTACTCCCTTTTATTCTATTGGCTTTTGAAAGCCAATAGAATAGACTCTCTTGAATAGAGTCTAATTCTATTGGCTTTCAAAAGCCAATAGGAATTGTCCAGGCTGTCTCTGCCCTGCTGAGCCCGCCAAAAGTCCCATTCTGCAAACGGTGCTACACCAGTTGAGTAGTCCTCGACTTACGACCGGTTGGGGGTCGCGGCATTAAAAAGGTTGAGAACCACTGTTTTATCGGAAGCCGGGCTAAGCGCTGATACACACACAGAGAGACATAAAAACAAACCCCGAGGTGCATCCATCGGCGCCATTAAAACATGGACACACAAGGAGACAGGGAGAAAGGAGGAAAAGACAGAGAGGGAGGATTAATCGCGTCAACGCAACCGGGCCGACCTGGCGTGGAAGAAGGAAGATCGTCAATCTGTCCATCAGCAGAGGTTACGGGCAAAACAGCGGGCAAGCTTGTGCTGGCATTCAGAGGGTTAAAAGCATTGGTACCGAGCGAAGCGGGCTCGTCCCACCGATGGTCATATTTACCCATGAGAGCTTTTCTGATAATGGCCTCCAGCCCCATGTTGGAACTAGGGTTTTCCTGGACCGCCTGGCTCCTACAACTGATTAACCCTGGGGGTACGGGAGGGAGGGAGGGGGTTTGGGAGGGGGGCAGAGAAAAGGGGGTGCCGAGGAAGAAATGGGGGAGGTGGGAGGGAAGAAAACAAAGGAAGGGAGAAGGGAAGGGAAGGGAGAAATAAAACTGTCAGCACATCCTTGCGAAACGACACAACGCCGCCCGCTGTGTTTAGTTCTCTCCCCGCCAAACCCTGCCATGCAGACCACGCGTGGCCTGGTCCCAAGTTCTGGAGATGTTCCCAAGGAAGGAAGGCAGGCGGAGGCATGGGTTGTCTGTTTCTGGAGCGCCACGTTGGGCGCACACATCGACTCTAAAGACAGAGGTGGGGAGGAAGCTGGCTCGTATTCAGCCCTGGCATGGTTTCATCTTGGCTTTGTGAGGGGGCTTTGAGCTTAAGTGGGTTCAGATGTTACCCATGTTTGTTGTGTTCCTCTCTCGTGGTGCCTCTCTGGTGACTGCAACTGATGCTGACCGGAGGGCAAAAGAGAGAGGAGGGTTGACCTGGATCTACCCCATCTATGGGTCATCCTCCTTCTCCTCATCTTCTAAGGTGTTTCTGATGTCCTTGTTCCAGACAGAACTGGTAGCATTTCAACGAAGCACACCATCCCTTGAAAGAATGATAGCCATCACTGCAATCTTTCTTCACTGTCTTCTACAGAACAAGTGACAAGCGTTGGGAATATATATATATATATGGTATCCTAGCTGCCAGAGGTCATGAGGGCTTGGTGGGACTCCTCAATGTTCCTTGAAATACGTGGACAATACCATTGGCAAAGTCCTTCACCTTTTGGTGGATCCCTTGATCGGTTGAATGTCTTCACTGCAAATATGAATTCAGTGTAAACAGGAAGACAGAAAGGAAATGTAAAAGAAAAAATTTTGTTTGGGAGGGCTCCTTTTGTGAGACCAAGATGTCTCCACCTGTCTTCTCCATGTTTTTTAGTAACTGCCCAAACTGATGTTCTTAAACTCTAGCCCATCCTATACTTGACCATGGACAACCTTGAGGTCAACGGAAGAATGGCTACCACCACTTCCTTTATTGGAAGCCTTCAAAATGGAGGGACTGGTCTTCTCCCAACGTCAACGTGACATGGGACCAACAGCCCTCATAAAATCTGAGGACACGTTCCTGGGCACCCATGGGAGTGGTCCCGTCCACCAGCTATGCCAATTTTCTCAAATTCTTCCACAGTTTTCCCTCCAGCCTTTTCCCCAATTTTGGGGTGGAGGCAAAAGAGGACGTCAGCTAAGCAAGTGGTACGGTTTGACTCGGGATCAGTGGTGTCATGCTGGTGGTGGTGTCGCAATTGTGAGTCATTAGAAGCCATGCAGTTAAGGTGTGGCAATGCAAAAAGACCAGAGAAAGCACTAAAGGGGCAGCTATTTGCCCAACGTTCCCAGGGAAAGAGGGAAATAATTAAAATGTAATTAAATGAGGCCAAGAGACAGAGGTTGAGGAACATGGGGTGATTTTTTTATATTGAAAAAAAATTAACAATCCAACTTATCATTGGGCTTCTTCCTCCTCTCCAAATGTTTTTAAGGTTTTTCAATCTTCTGTTGGGGGACAGCTGAACCAGCTTTATCAGCTTGCAAAAGTCACCCCCAACCTCACGTGCCGAGTGGCCCCAAAAGAGGGCACCATTCCAGGTAGGGAAAAATCAAACACAGGGTGCAGAAAGAGTTCTAGTACTTACCTGTTCCTGTCATTGCTGGCATGTAAAAAATCTCTGTTCCGGGTTGTCCAACATCTGGAAGGAAGATCAAAGAGAAACACCTTAGAGGAGGCAACATCCGAAGAAGTCCTACTACAATTTCAGAACGTCGTTTTTTGGGGAAAAAAATCTTGGGGCTACCAAGATTCGGTGCTGAGAAAACTCAGATGAACTGTCTTGATAGATAGATAGATAGATAGATAGATAGATAGATAGATAGATAGATAGATAGATAGATAGATAGATAGATAGATAGACAGACAGATAGACAGACAGACAGACAGACAGAGATAGATAGATAGACAGACAGACAGACAGACAGACACAGATAGATAGACTGATAGATGGAGAAAAGAACTACAGGGAAGTCCTCAAGTTACGACCGGTCATAAAGTGACCATTCAAAGTCATGACAGATCTCCAGAAAGATACCTATAACCTGATTCAGAGGTTCTGATGGCCAGAGGCTCGCTTGCAATCGTGCAAGGTGAAAGCGTGGGTGGACAGCAACCAGCCTGCATTTATGAACGCATGCAGCACCCTGTGGGCCTGTGATCACGTTTTACGATGATTTGGCCCAAAACCTTTATGTACTTCCAATTTTGGGGGAAACTGGCCCATGGTGAACAATTCGTTGACTGAATAGGTAGCCAACAATTAATTCTTCAGCATATCTGAAGCATTTTTTTTCAAACATGCCAGAGAACTGCATACATATATACATACATACATATGGTGTAGATCAGTGTTTCCCAAACTTGACAATTTTAAGGCATGAGGACTTCAACTCCCAGAATTCCACAGCCATAAAATTGTCAAGTTTGGGAAACACTGCTGTAGATAGATAGATAGATAGATAAAGAGGGAGGGAGGGAGGGAGGGAGGGAGGGAGGGAGGGAGGGAGAGAGAGAGAGAGATATGGAGGAAGGAAGGAAGGAAAGAAAGAAGGAAAGAAAGAAAGCAAGCTAGATAGAAGACAGACATATATATATATATATATATATATATATATATATATATATAGAGAGAGAGAGAGAGAGAGAGAGAGAGATGAAAGAAGAAAGGAAGAAGGGAGAGAGAGAGAGAGAGAGAGAGAGAAAGAGAAAGAAAGAAAGAAAGAAAGAAAGAAAGAAAGAAAGAAAGAAAGAGCTGGATAGTAGACAGATGATGAGATAGATAGATAGATAGATAGATAGATAGATAGATAGATAGATAGATAGATAGATAGATAGATAGACAGACAGACAGACAGACAGACAGACAGACAGACAGACAGACAGAAGAGCCGAGTGAAATTCTCACTGTATTCTGCCTCGTTCCGGTTGCTGGTGCTGAGTTTTTTGATGATCTCCTGCTTCTTGGATTTCACCATGGCGGAATTGCTCTCTGTTAGTTTGCTGAAGAACGCTGGCGGTTGGACGCTGTTTCCAGGGGATCGGGTGCAGCCTCTGCCAGATTGAAAAGATCCCCGAGTCTTTCTCGGCTGACACCCCAAGCCACGTCACCCCTCGCTACGCTGTCCGCCCGCCTTCTTACCTCAGCTCCAGCTGCTCGCCCTCGCGATACAGAACAGGGTAGGCGCTGTTTCGGACACGCTCAGCTTCTGCGTTTCCCTCCGGCGGAGAGATCGGCTCAATGCAGTTGTCCGAAGATGGAATTTTAATTTGCTCAGGCGATCTGCGGAGGTTACGAGTGAGAAGGTGAGACTCGGGCAACAAGAAGCTCGTGAAACTAAAGGCAGGTGGGTTGAGCAGCTCACTGGAGGTTGAAAGTTGTGTTTCTTCCATTGGGTGAGACGGGAAAGAGAGGAGCCTTCTGATGGATGAAGATCTGGAGGTTTGAAGGGCCCAAAACGAGAATTGCAACGAACAGGGTTTGTTTTTCCTTGAAGACATGTCGCTCCTCATCCAAGAACAGAAGAAGCTCCTTGCGTGAGAAGCGAAACGTCTTCAAGGAAAAACAAGGAAGTCCAGTTGCTTTTTGAAAAAGCATCTTGGGGACAACCCTGACCTGGAGGACTGAGAAACTCCACAGACATGTAGGCCAGGTATGGACAGGTATCTCCGTCAGAGTTTGTACCACTAGTGATTATTTTCACAAACATGCGTAAGGGGTTTTCACACTCTCTGTTCTTTGAATGTGACCTCCGGGATGCTAAGTCTCCCACAAACAAGATGTTGAGACCTTGGAAAAAGTTCAGAGAAGAGCAACTAAGATGATCCAAGGCCTGGAGACTAAAACATATGAAGAACGGCTGCAGGACTTGGGTTTGGCTAGTCTAAAGAAAAGAAGAAATAGGGGTGACATGATAGCAGTGTTCCAGTATCTGAGGGGCTGCCACAAAGAAGAGGGGTTCAATTTATTGTCCAAAGCACCTGAGGGCAGGACAAGAAACAATGGGTGGAAACTGATCAAAGAGAGAAGCAATCTGGAATTAAGGAGAAACTTCCTAATAGTGAGGGCAATTAACCAGTGGAACAGCTTTGCCTCCAGAAATCGTGGGTGCTCCATCACTGGAGGTTTTTAAGAAGAGATTGGAAAGTCACTTGTCTGAGATGGTGTAGGTCAGGAGTAGGCAATCTTGGCTCTTTTATGACTGGTGGACTTCAACTCCCAGAATTCCTGAGCCAGCCATGCTGAGAGGAAAGGGAGAGGTTTCCAAGCTGAGCCATGCTGGCTCAGGAATTCTGGGAGTTGAAGTCCACGAGTCATAAAAGAGCCAAGGTTGCCTACCCCTGGTATAGGGTCTCCTGCTTGAGCAGGGGGCTGGACTAGAAGACCTCCAAGATCCCTTCTAGTTCAATTCTAATTCTATTTATTTCTATTCTATTCTATTCTATTCTATTCTATTCTATTCTATTCTATTCTATTCTATTCTATTCTATTCCATTCCATTCTATTCCTTATTCTATTCTCTATTCTATCCTATCCTATTTCTATTCTATTCCTTATTCTATTCCATTCTATTCTATTCCTTATTCTATTCTATTCTATTCTATTCCATTCTATTCTATTCTATTCTATTCTACAATCTGTCTATTCTATTCTATTCTATCTAAATTCCTATTCCATTCCATTCCATTCCATTCCATTCCATTCCATTCTATTCTATTCCATTCTATTCTATTCCATGCTATTCCTTATTCTATTCTATCCTATCCTATCCTATTTCTATTCTATTCCTTATTCTATTCCTTACTCTATTCCTTATTCTATTCTATTCTATTCTATTCTATTCCTATTTCTATTTCTATTCCTTATTCTATTCTCTATTCTATTCTATTCTATTCTATTCTATTCTGTTCTGTTCTGTTCTGTTCTCTTCTGTTCTATTATACAATCATCCTATCCTATCCTATCCTATCCTATCCTATCCTATCCTATCCTATCCTATCCTATCCTATCCTATCCTATCCTATCCTATTCTATTCTCTCCACCAACCTGGATTTGGGCACCCTTTCTGTTCCTACAGCCCATCTTCCACCTTCATGGACCTCTTTCATGACGGGAAGGAGAGAGGATGGCCTCACCTTTGGTCTGCTTCACTTTCAGGGGAGATTCTAGAAGATGAAACATGTTCCATTGGTTGGTGCTGGAGGTAAGATTCAGGAGGGGCTCGGCGGAGATCCAGCACAGGAGCAGCAGCCCCCGAGTAGGAGTAGACAGGAGGCTGGATATGGGGATTGAGTTGCTGGGGATGATGGCGCGTGTAGTCTTGAGTGATGACTTCCTGTAAGAAGAGAAGGCATATCTTTCTGTTTTTTCTTGCGGGTCATTTCTCAAAAGAGTTCACCATCGCTAACGCCAACACCACCAGTTCGACTGGAGCAACACAAGAATTACTGGCCACGCTACCACCTGCCACGCGCGTCCAAGCCTGGCACCCCACAAGCAATTCTGAAGAGAAGGATGAGGAGGGGGACATGATAGCAGTCTTCCAATATCTCAAGGGCGCCTGGATCCTGGTCCCTTCCCTGAAGACATTGCTGTTGTTAATTGCGAAGTCGTGTCTGACCCATCGCGACCCCATGGACAACGTTCCTCCAGGCCTTCCTGTCCTCTACCATCTTCTGGAGTCCATTTAAGCTGAATGTTTTTAGAAGTCGTTCATAAAGCTTTTGATTAATGCTTAAGAGAACCAGGAAACAGTTCTTCAATTATTACATAAAGGCACCCAAAAAAATTGGTGACTTTAGGCAAATCATTATCACTTTCTTAGCCCATTGCAAAAGCAGTGATGTAATTGATCTGTCTTGCAATATTGGTTTTGATTGAGATATCATGCAAACAGGAATAAATTTATGAATTAGGGAAACATATCTTAGAGTAACATATAAACAGTTTTGACATAGAATAAAAATTAAAAATTCTACCCAAAATCAAGCTTAATTTAGTAACTTTAGAGACATACATAAATGCAATTTTCCTGGCAAAATATATGGATATGGATTTTTGTTTCAATTTCTCGATTTAGAATGTGTTGAATGACTTACTGGAGTCATTAAGATTACTAATGTGAAAACGTATTTGCTGATTTGGTGGTGATTGATGATTCTTTGATGAAGAGAAATAGGGTAGGATTTGTGAGATTTTCACATACATTAGGTCATTTGTTGTTGTTAATTGCGAAGTCGTGTCCGACCCATCGCGACCCCATGGACAATGTTCCTTCAGGTCTTCCTGTCCTCTACCATCTTCTGGAGTCCATTTAAGTTCACACCTACTGCTTCAGTGACTCCATCCAGCCATCTCATTCCCTGTCGTCCCCTTCTTCTCTTGCCCTTCATCTTTCCCAGCATTAGGCCCTTCTCCAGTGAGTCCTTCCTTCTCATTCGGTGGCCAAAGTACTTGAGTTTCAACTTCAGGATCTGGCCTTCTAAAGAGCAGTCGGGGTTGATCTCTTCTAGGACTGACCGGTTTGAAGGCCTTGCAGTCCAAGGGACTCGCAGGAGTCTTCTCCAGACATAGCCAAGTGGTTGTCTGAAGAGGGTCCAAATGGTCCCCCCACCCCCAACAGTGTGGTTGTCCCAAAGGTGCTTTTTCAAGAGGCAGCTGGACTTAATGGGCTTTTCCTTGAAGACGTTTCACTTCTCCTCCAGGAAGATTCTTCAGTTCTAACCGAAAGGTGGGGAAATGCAGGATTCTTCAATTAGAACTGAAGAAGCCTCTTGGGTGAGAAGCAGAACGTCTTCAAGGGAAAAAAACCAAGTTCAGTGGCCTCTTGAAAAAAGCAACCAGGACCGGGATGACTGAGAATCTCCACAGATCCCCCAGTGTGGGATTTACGGTCCTGACAAACAACAGCTCTGCAGGTTTGCAGACTTGCCTCCGAGCCCCAGTTGAACATGGCGCTTGTCTTCCATGCATCACATCGCAACAATATAAAAAAGATGCTGAGACTCTAGAAAGAGTGCAGAGAAGAACAACAAAGACGATCAGGGGACCGGAGGCTAAAACAGATAAGGAACGGTTGCTGGAATTGGGTATGTCTAGTTTAACGAAAAGAAGGACAAGGGGGGACAGGATAGCAGGGTTCCAGTATCTCAGGGGCTGCCCCAAAGAAGAGGGAGTCAAGCTATTCTCCAAAGTGCCTGAAGACAGGTGTAAGGACCCACCTCAGCTAACCACCCAAGAAAGCAGAACTCTTGAAACAGGCATCATCTCCAAAGGAAACTTTTATTAGGGGTCAGGAACAGTAGGGAAGGCAAAGCAAGATCCGGGGAAAATCCCGCTTGAAGGGTATAATTAAATCAGCAATATTCCTCCTCCCATCAAAATCATAATGTCCATTTGAAATCCAGCCAATCCACAGGGTGACACACAGTTGGCGTGCATCTCAAGGCCTTCTCCAGTTTTGTTTCTCTGTAAGAATCTCCTTGATAAAGGGAGACACATGCCTATCTCGAAAGGATGGAGGGAGGAGGGGAAATATAGAAAGCAAAAGGTATCCCAAAGCACATGCAACTCCACCTGCCCCCCCCACAGAATGACGTGATGTAACCCCCCCATCACAAGCCTCTCACTGATGACTCACCCCTGACCCATCACGAGACCCTCACTCAACAAGCCCTTATAAACAGAACACCGACACAGACATCCCCTAAACTCCGCTGAAGACGTTACCCAGCCTGGTAATGAAACGTTCGGAAACTAACCCAGACGCTCGGAGAACAAAGCTCCACCCTCAGAGACCACCATCCTTTTGAGGCACCCGACAGATTGTCCCTGTCTTGCAACCATCCATTTACCAACTGAAGCCACAACACCACTGGAAAAGATGACTTACAACTGGGTTTTGCAATTCACGACCCTCGGAGCATCCCCACTTACGTTGATGTGCTGGGCCAAGGTGACGACCCGCTGATGTCCTTTGGCATTTGGGGGTCCCTGTAACGGCTGACCTGGGGACTGGCGACCCTCACTGATCTGGTGGAGCTGTTGCATGTGTGAGATCTCCGCTCCACAAGGTTTGAGGGAACCTAGATGAGAAGAGCGGAACGAAGGTGGAATGAAACACGCCATAGCCAAGCGGGGAAGGGTCCCTGTTATGGATGGAGGAGACCCTGACCTTTCTCCTTATCTTGAGTCAGCTTCATCCCTTTCTCGTGGAGGGCAGAGGGGGAGTTCACGGGGCTTATGGTTTCAATGCCGTCAGGACTGTAGTTCCCACGGAAAACTGAGGAACACAAAAGAGATTCTTAAAACGTTGGTGGCAGCCTTTCCTTCTCAGCACTGTGATGACAGCTGGTAGGGCAGGGGTAGGGAACCTTGGCTCTTTTATGAACTGTGGACTTCAACTCCCAAATTCCTGAGTCAACATGGCTGGTTCATGAATTCTGGGTGTTGAAGTCCACCAGTCATAAAAGAGCCAAGGTTCTCTAGCCCTAGGCTAGGGAAAGGATGAAAGATACCCTCAAAGGCCACTTTTGACACCTGGAATTCTGTGATCTCATTGCTTGGATCCCTACGTTAGAGAAGATGACTTGAGAACATTCAAGAGGTCCTTCACATCCAACCATGGGACCTGGATGGGGGGGGACACTGTTGAGAAGCACACAGTGGGCTTCCATTGTGGTCTTTTGGAATACACTGAGGTGTCAAATGGTGCAGTCGCCGATCTTTAAGTTGTCCAAAATAAAGCTACAACAATATAATTAGACAAGCAACTCATTGGCCGAGCCATGTTGATGGCTCCTGTGTGTCGCTGAGTTTGGAGATTCCTCCAAGGGTTACTTCCATTCAAGCTACAACAAAACCCATGGTTCTAGTTCTAGAACAACCTTCCCCAGCCTGGTTTGCCATTTTGGGAGCTCTAGTCTCAACCAATCCAGGAAACCAGAGATTGGGGAACGAACCGAGGGACAATTTAGCAAGCCGATTCTCTCTCCCCAACATCATCTGGGTCAACACCAGATACACTCCCCATGATGCAATCTGTCTACAGGTAGTCCTCGGCTTACCATCCTTTGCTTAGCGACCGTTCAAAGTTACAACGCCACTGAGAAAATTGACTTATGATGGCTGTTCACACGACCGCTGCAGCATCTCCAGGGTCACGTGATCACGATTCAGCGCTTGGCATCCGGCATGTATTCATGACAGCTGCAGCATCCCGGGGTCACGTGATCACCCATGGCCACCTTCCCAACTGGCTTCCGACAAAGCAGAGCCAGTGGGGAAATCCAGATTCACTTAACGTCCGTGTGGCTCATTTAACAACCGTCGCAAAGGTGATCATAACATCGAGCACTACTCACTACACAACTGCCTTGCTTAGCAGTGGAAATTCTGCTCCCAATTGCGGTCGTTAAGTCGAGGACTACCTGTATCTCGGTCGACTTTAGCAAATTTACACAATTCATGGACAAAGCAGAACATCAATTACCCTGGAAGCAAGCACAGTGCTGAAATTCGTGACCTCACTCATTCCAGTACTTCATACATTTTGCAGGGGTCCACGGAGGCAGGTAGACGGGTGTCCAAAGAGTGAAAACAACAGTCGCAACCATGTCTCAGAAGCCCCCTCTTGGCATGTCTGGCCAATTGGGAGGGGGGGCTTTGATGATGCGCTGTCATCCTCCCAAAATTTCGACCCCCGTTTCTTTGGAGAGACCCCCGTTTCCAAATCTGCCCTGCCCTGCCACACACAACAACATGCTCAGGAGGAAAAATAAAAAATGAAAAAGGTAGGCTGAAAAATGGAAAAAAAAAAACAGAAAAAAAAAGAGGAAGAAGCATGAGCACAGGAGGGGTGCAAAATGGGGGGGGGGCTTTATGCAGACAACGCTGGGAACGCAAACGGGCCGTCACCACAAATGTGAACATCAAAACGCTTTTTTAAAAAAAATAGATGATTGCGGAAAGGGAAGGGTCTTTGATAAGGTCTCCGGGTGCAGGCTGGAAGACCCCCCCGACGCCGAGAGCTGCCCCAACACCCGCTCCAATATCTTACCATCGCCATTGGCGCTGTTATTTAATGAACTTCTGTCGGGCATCCCCTTATCGCAAGAAATTTGGCGCGTGATAATGACATCAATGAAGCTGGCGGCTGTCATGGTGGTCTTACCGAGTACTCGCAGCTCCTGCTCCTGCACTGAAAAGGGTTTACTCTTTTCTCTACTCGGCGGATCGGGGGCCGAAACGGCGTGCAGTGACGGGTCCAAGGGGGTATGATGCGAAGGCTGGATTTTCCCCTGTCCTCTGCTAAACGGGTGGATCGCCCCTGGCCCAGCAGAGGACAAAGTCTTGGGCTCCGTAGCTTTTACGGGTGAAGGTGTCTGTTCTAGGCCTGGCCCCGCGGACAACTTGGAGGTGAAGAGGTGATTGGCCTCGGGCTGAGACCGCTCGCTTTTGACGTCCTGGGTCCTGGAGGACGAGACCTCCTTCTGCGCGTGGGCCGATTCCACCACCGAGGCGTAGCTGTCCACGCCGCTTAGGGAGCTGCGCAACGCCGATGCCGGACAGAAGCTGGAGGAGCAGGCTGGGGACGTGGTGGCAGTGGATGAAGAGGAAGAAGAAGAGGATCTGCGAAGCAGAAAGACCACGTTAAGAGATCTCCTGGAGGAGGAGAAGGGAATACCCCCCATCTTTTGCAAAAGGGTGTCAAGCAGAATGTAGTTATGGGGTTATTCAAGTCCTGGATTTGTGCAAGGACACACTGAGAAGTTGTGGGTGCTCCAACACTGGAGATGGTTACGAAGAGAGTAGACATCCATTGTCTGGAATGGTGTAGGGTTTCCTGCTTGGGGTTGGACTAGATTGTCTCCAAACTTGCAAGTATAAGATGGAAACTGACCTACAGAGAGGCTGTACTATGGAGAATCTGGGGCCAGGCAGTTTTTCTTGGCTGGATTATAATTTGGGGTCTGCGACTGAAAAGCATCTAGGGGAGAAGGAGCAAAAACGGGCTTAATTTCCAACAGATTCCCCTCCCTATACTAACATCCAGAATTTGCATGTTAAGCACCCTAGGATTTTGCCTATAAGCCGTATTCCATCCAAGGGTCTGAATCTTTGCAGGAAAAGAAAGCTATAAAAGAACCATCGGTCAATTGCAAACCGCAGCTTGACCCAGAACAGCTGATAACCTACAACAGTGGTGGCGAACCTATGGCACGGGTGCCAGAGGCAGCATTCAGAGCCCTCTCTGTGGGCACACGTGCCGTCGCCCCAGTCCTAGGCCTTCAGCTGGGTTTTATAAAACCTTTTCACTTTAGGCCACCGTGTGCAAAAAAAAAAAAAAAAAAGGTTCAATCAGTCAATTTCAACTTCTCGCGGGAAAAAAAAGATCTTGCAAAGTTGGAATTGATTGATTGAACTTTTTAGTCCCACCCAGTCTGCCATTATCACCACAGACATGCCCACTCAATTTGCCATGCCCACCCAACTGGCAACACTCAGCCAATGGGCCATGCCCACCCGGCACTCGACGATGCAAAAGTGGGTTTTGGGTTGCAGTTTGGGCACTCGGTCTCTAAAAGGTTCGCCATCACTGACCTACAACGATCACCTTGAACCTCATCAAACAACATCTGCCTATCCCAGGTCCTTGGACTGACTAGGTCAGGGAGTTGAAGTCCACAAGTCATAAAAGAGCAAAGGTTGCCTACCCCTGGACTAGGTGGATAAAATTGCCAAATCCAATCTGAACATGTGGCTGAGTGTAGATGACCAGGCTGAGCCTGAGGGGTCAAACGTGTCATCAGGCTTGAGTCCCTGCACCCATGACAGATCTAAGCCCCGCTCACCTTGAATTCCGCTGACTCTTCTCTACCACCAATTTGCTTTGACCCTTAGTAGCTCAGATTCTTGTAGACAGCCTAAGCTTGCAATCATTACACAGAGAGTCCTCAACCTCCAACAGTTCATTTAGTGACTGTTCAGAGTTACAACAGCACTGACAAGTGACTAACGACCGTTTTTCACACTGACAACCGTTGCAGCATCCCCATGATCACATGATCAAAATTCAGACACAAGGCAACTGACTCATATTTATCATGGCTGCTGTGTCCTGGGGTGACATGATCCCCTTTTGTGACCGTATGATAAGCAAAGTCAACGGGGAAGCCAGATTCACTTAACAACTGGGCCACTAACTTAACAACTGTGGCCAAAAAGGTCGTAAAATGGGGCAAAGTTCACTTAACAAATATCTCACTTAGCAAGAGAAATTTTGGAGTCAACTGTGGTCGTTATGTTGAGGGCTACCTGTATACGAGGGCTACCTGTATACATTTGAACTGCCTGGATTTTCCAATTTCTCGCGCTTGATCCTGACGGTGTGACAAACCAAGAAATGACGACAACCGACAAGCAACCAACCCAGAATCTGCGCTGTGCATGGTCCATTTTGTACCGTGGATGTATGTCGAGAATAACGCACTTCCGCCTTTCTGGAATTTGACCTACCGCAAGATGGAGGAAGTGAGGCCTTCCGAGGAGATGATCTTCATGTTGGTGTTGTGCAACACACTGGGCCGCTGCTGAATGTTCTCCTGTGCGCGAGGGGAAACCGGGGAGTGTTTATGAGAGTGTGCGGATGTACAGCCACTGCTGTGCTCGGTGCCTGTCGTAAAAGATGGAACGGAGGCAAAATGAGACGGTGCCGAGGCCCCTCTCCTCCCTGTCCGAGGTGGTGGACCTCTGCTCATGAACAAACCTGGCCTCCAGATGGGCGCGTGCTCCACCGTGGCTGTGCTGGTCACAACCGATTTCTTGCGTTCCTTTTCACGGTCCCGTTCTTGCTCCCGTTCGGAAACCGAGGGTCCCGTCTTGGGTAAATGTGCAGGGGTACCTGTGAAGCACAGGCTGTTTTTTTTCCCCCACTGTGGATAAGGCGCTCTAGAGCTGCTTTGCTATTTCATCCACCATCGATGTCCAGCAAAAAAAAAGCATTCAGCTTGAAAAATCTGTTAAAGCCCAGAATTGTAAGGTCCTTGATGCCCTCCCAGCTTAAAGAACACTAATAATGTAACTCAGTTGGGTCATGAAACGTCTGCAAGAAAACCATACAGTTCAGGGAACACCAAGGACCCCACAGTCCTTTCCTCCTCCTCCTCCTCCTCCTCCTCCTCCTCCTCCTCCTCCTCCTCCTCCTCCTCCTCCTCCTCCTCCTCTTCAGAAACCCCATTCCCTTCTAGCACTGATAATATAACTCAGTTGGGTCATGATACGTCTGCAAGAAAACCATACAGTTCAGGGAACACCAAGGACCCCACAGTCCTTTCCTCCTCTCCTCCTCCTCCTCCTCCTCCTCAGAAACCCCATTCCCTTCTAGCACTGATAATATAACTCAGTTGGGTCATGAAACGTCTGCAAGAAAACCATACAGTTCAGGGAACACCAAGGACCCCACAGTCCTTTCCTCCTCCTCCTCCTCCTCTTCTGAAACCCCATTCCCTTCTAGCACTGATAATATAACTCAGTTGGGTCATGAAATGTCTGCAAGAGATAAGGAGGGAGACCCAGGCGACACAGTATTGAATAACTGGAGGTTGTATAAATGTTTATAGAAGTATATACCGAGAAGGTTAGATAAATAGAAGTATTAATCTTATTGTATATAATACAGATAGAGAAATTTGGAGAGAGGAGTTGCTCGGACATTACCCCTGAATTGTATCTGAAGAGGGATGAAGAAAGGAGAGGAGAGAGAAAAGAGTAAAGGAGGGGAGAAGGAAGTAGGAAGGTTGGAGGAGAAGAGGAAAAGTGGGGGAAAAGGGGGAGGAGAGTGGTGAAGGAAAGAGAAGAGGAGAGGAAGAAGAGGGAAGTAGGGAAGAGAAGAAAGGGAGAAAGAAGGTAGAGAAGAAGGAGTGTGGATACGGTGAAAGGGGAAATGGGCGAGCAACACCAAAAGTCATATGTATGTATTTATTGCATTTTATTAAAAGTACCTTATATATGAATGTTAAAAGACTGTATGTTAACGTCTGATAAATATTACGGTATATGTATGGGGGAGAGTTTGGAAAAATAAAAAGTTATTTAAAAAAAAAAAAGAAACGTCTCCAAGAAAACTATAAAGTCCTTTTCCTTATCCTCTTCCTTCCTCTCCACAAACCTCACTCCCCTTCATGTACTGATGATGTTCCTTGATTGGGTCTACAAGAACACCACCAAGCTCAGAGAGCACTAAGGACTCCACAACATTCAACCCCGAGTTACAAATATTGTCTTCAATTAAAACCCAGAATGCAGAACATTGGTAGGGAACTCAAAAACCTGAAGTCTTCAGATCTGAATGAAATTCTGGTAGTCCACTTCATCCTCCTTCCTCTGCTTTGCCTTGTTCTTTTTTTAGTAGCCTATTTCATCTTTGCATTCTTTATTCTTTCCCTTCCCTAAACTTTATGTTCAAAATATTGCCACACACGTGGTCCTAACACGCTCGTCCAGGATTAAAGGGTTCTTGAACATGGGCAGTCAGACGCAATCATCCTTAACTCTGGGTTAACCTAAAACCGTGGCTTGTGGGTTTTTTTAATTTATTTATTTGGGTGATACCAAGCAGCCACAAGACGGTTCTGAACCTCTCAGGATGATAAAACTGGTTCCAGCAACCCCCAAATCCAGTTGATTTGGACCTGCTGGTCCCTCATCTACTTTTCTTCTCCAACAAACCATCCCCTACTTCCTTCAGCCGATCTAGAACAGGGCTTTTCAACCAGTGGTACGGGTACCACCTGTGGTCCATTGGCACCTGGCAGGTGGTACGCGACCATCCTAGAAAAGGGGTAGTGAGGGAGGGGAAGGAGCTGAACTGGTGGCAGCACCGCACAAGCCTGAGTGAGAGATGGCTGGAGCTGCAGGGCTGTCAGGGCTCAGTGGAAGCGCCAGGATCAGTGTCAGGCTCCAGCTGGAGCTCGGTGCTGATCCTGGCCCTTCTGCTGAGCCCAGAAGAAGCGCCGATCAGCTGGAATGTTGCAGCATCTCCAGGGTCTTGTGATTTACATTCAGATGCTTGGCAACCGATTCATATTTATGACGGTCAGCGTGTCCCAGGGTCATGTGAAGTGACCAAAACCTGCTGCAACCACCCAGCAGACTGGGGGGGGGGAATAAAAGCCAAACACCCCCCCCACCCCACCTCCGCTGCCAATCCTCAACAGAAATGCTCACAACAATGAAAACCTCAGACAGGAGGAAGAGTGCGGCCGGGTAGGCGGGCAGGTGTCTTGCTCGGCTGTGGCTTGGGGGGCACTTTTTTCAATGCCATTGTAACTTCAAACAGTCCTTAAGTGAACTGTTGTAAGTCGAGGACTACCTGTACTTTATCACTTTTTTCCTTTTTTGGGGGGGGGTCATCAAGTTTTTGACCCCTTGCTAGGCGACTGGTGGTCCTCGGATGTTGCCATATCCCAAAAGTGGTACAGTGGGTGAAAAGGCTGAAAAGCCCTGACTTGAGCAACCCAAATTGTAGGTGTTAAATCAAGAACCCGCTGCAATTTGTGTCTGCGGTATCACCAATGCCACGGAGATTGAAAAGCCCTGGACTAGAACACAGCCTTCTTCCTTCCAGCTTGTCTTCTCTTGTTCTCGTTTACCTCCATTCTTCCTCTCTGGACCCTTTCACCTGTAAACAAGGTGGATCTCCTTGCCAGGCAGTTCCCAAAGAAGGCTATTTGGAAGCATCATCTCACATCCTTCAGGCTCTTGGTTCCCTGCTGACTCACCTGGAGACAGGGGTGAGCTACTGTGTCGGCTGCTGAAAGGCTGGGCAGCGCTGTGCATGTAGGTGATCCGGTCCATGGAGGCTGCAGAGGTGCCCGGGGTGGGGGGCACGAGCACAGGGAGGTGTGGTACTTGAGACAGGTCAATTATCCCTGCTGGGGAAAAGGAGAAGTTGGTTAGGAACAGAAGGGGGAGCACAGTGGGGCAGGGTCCTCCTTAAGGCCATGGCGCTTAAGTTTGTCAGGCTGGTCTGCTCTGAATTCTCTTGAGTTTTTGCTTCCGTTGGGTGTGTGTATGTTTCTTCTCTTTAAGAGTCAGCTGATGCCACGGGGCTCACTTCAAGAAGAATCTTGTGGCCAAAACAAACCAACAGCTGTGCTGAGAATGAACAACTGGCAAAGAAAGACAGAATGGGACCACTTGGCCTGGGCAACTTGTTGCAGAACAATACAACAAATACAGGACATTGGCAGAACAGTGGCCAATGATATTAAAATAAAGTCAACCCAGAAATACGAGAGTTACATTAATTTTGACAAAAGCGTGGTCACCAATAATGAAAGTAAATGAATGATTAATACAACATTGAGTTGTCCCAAAGCGAATCGGCTGCGGCAAATTGTCCCAGACCCAAAAAAGGTGTTGCTTTTAAAGATGGCTTAAGACTGTAGGGCGAAGAACCATCAAGCTAACATTGTCCTCTACAGCAGCGTTCCTCAAACTTCCTGGCTTTGTGGACCAGCGGGAGGGGGGAGAGAGGGGATAGCTCTATGTAAGCAGTGAGTGTGTGTGCATGCAGCTCCATTTGCGTGAGCAGCGGACACGCACGTACGCCACTTGCACAAATGGATCTGCCAGGGGCACGCTCGCTCGCCATTCATTCAAGTGGAGCTGCGTGCGGCACTTGCCCACCACTTCCATGGCCCAGTTCCGAATGGTCCACAGCACAGGGGTTGAGGACCCCCGCTCTACAGCCAGTAGAGGCTCTGCTTGATCTCTGTTCCCATAAAAGCACAACCCGGAGCAAACACAATTGATGGAAGTCATTCTTCTAAATCAGTTTAATGCCGCAACCCCCAACCGGTCGTAAGTCGAGGACTAAACCAGTTGTAAGTTGAGGACTACCCAACCGGTCGTAAGTCGAGGACTTTCCCTGCCCGCGAGCGCCGCGCATGCGTGATGCCGCCCCCTGCACCGGCCGAGGCGTAGCTGGCAAGTGGCAGAGACGGAGCAGGCCGACCACCGGCTAGGCCACCAGCTGGCCCAGCCCAAGGGAGGTAAGGCACCCGCCGGAAAAGGGGGAAAAAAATGGCGGACAGCCCTACTTGGCGACCCCCGTGAAATGGTCGATCGACCCCAAATGGGGTCGCGACCCACAGGTTGAGAACCGCTGTTCTAAATCATTGTGTCTTGTCTCAGACCCATCACCATCCACCGTCTCATGGGTGTTTGTGCAACCAAGTCTCCAACATGGCTTCCCCTCCCACCGGGGCACCCCACGGATTCCAGACCTGCTGCATAGTTGAGAGCCATGGAAGGCTCTCGTGACGACAAGCCTCGGAGGAGATCGACTCTCTGAGCCATGGTAGTAGCAGTGGCAGCGTTGTGGTGCATCTGTTGGGAGGTGATGTAGTCGTTGATGATGGTCTGTCTGTTCTCCATGGCGGCAGTGTCCGGGTAGCCACGGATGAGGTAAGGCGGGTAGAGATGGGGATACGTAGGACCAGGAGCAAGGTGCCTCGGCAAGTAATAGGCAGCTGTTGAATCAAGCAGAGATGAAGAAGGTCCACTTCTACATACTCCAGATCTCGTTTTAGAACATTTACATCCAACCTCGCAGGATCTCCATAAAGCTCCACTTAAGGTCTTCCAGATCCTTTCCCTACTATTTCCCAGAGCCAATGCTGGCTGTGGAATTCTGGGAGCTGAAATCCACATGCCTTAAAATGGTCAAGGTTGAGAAACACTGTTCTAGATCTAAGTGCAACTATACCATGCTGGAGGAGAACCCACTGTCCAGATTGCTGCTAAACTCTTCATGCACCTCCAACTTATTTTTTTTTATTTATTAAAAGTTTTACAAATTTAATACAATATAACCCCCCCACCCCTTCCCCCCCCACTTCCCAGAGCTGACTACAGGCTAACAAATAAACAAACATAATCTAACTAACATTAACCAACTATACTATCAATCAAAACCATAACACACTTTAACTCCTTTTCAAGACAAGTATTAACGAATTATAAACAAAAATAATAATATAATTAAAACTATTAATAATTATCTAAAATCTACTCATATGCAAGATAATACTTTTCAGTTTCATATTTCTTTTGCATGTAATCAGTCCATCTTCTCCAAACCATAATATATTTTTCTTGTGAGTGGTCCTTCAAATAGGCAGAGATTTTCACCATTTCTGCTAAATTAGACACCTTAAGTATCCATTCTTCCATAGTAGGCAAAAAAAAAAATTCTTCCAATATTGCCCCACCAGTAGTCTTGCAGCTGTTATAAGATTCAACATCAAGTTGATTTCTTTAACATCAAAATCTACAATAACACCCAACAAAAATAACTGCGGAGTAAACTTTAGCTTTCTCTTAAAAACCTTTTGAATATTCCACCAAATCTTAATCCCAAAAGCTTTTATATCTCTACAGGTCCACCAGATGTGAAAATAGGTTGCATCTAAACTTCCACATCTTCAACATTTGGGCTGTAAATTCGGATACATGCGGGACAATTTTGGGGGATCCAGATGCCACCTGCACCGACCCGCCAGATGATGGTTTATGGACTTTTCATCCTCCTCCTACCTGCTTCTAAGGGTATCCCTCGGGGAATGGCCGCGGGGTCAAAGGTCAGTGGAATGTGGCCTCTGTATAGATCCATGCCGCTTGTTCCGCGGAGCAGATGCTCATACGGAGACATCGGGTGATGGTGGTCTGGAAGTGGGGTATGAGGAGACTTGGAGCTGGTGATATCTCTGGAGGTGGTTGTGACCTTCCTTTCTTGAGACACGGGTTTCCCAGCAGTGATGCTCCCTGTTGAAGCACATCAAAAGAAGAAAATATTTTGTAGGTTAGGGTTGAATTGTGAGGTCCTTAGTGTTTTCAGAGCTTGATAGCACTGATGAGGTTCCCTAGTTGGGTCATGAAACGTCTGCAAGGAAACAACCAAGCTCAGAGAGCACCAAGGACCCCTCCAATTAAGTAGATACGAGGGCAATTTGGAAATAAAACCTCCGTTTGGTTATCTGTGACAAGACACTCGCAGATACAGAACTTTATTATACACATTAGAAAATTACAACGTGACATGACTTTTCGACATAATCGCCATTCAAGTTGAGGCACTTGTCACAACATCTTACAAGGTTTGAAATTTCTTAGTCCTAGTCGCTCAGTGCCAAATCTGGGCTATTGGGGGGAGGTGTGTGTGATCAAAAACATCCCAACGGAACGGCTTCGAAAGTTCTTGAGTGCGTCTAGCGGTATGCGCCCGAGCATTGTCGTGAACCAACACCACACTGGAAGTCAGCCTGCCCCGATGCATGTTATGGATGGCTCCTCTGAGTTTTTGTAACGTTTCACAGTAGACGTCTGAACTGATGGTCGAACCACACTCCGTGAACTTCACTAGCCGTCCTCCTTTGCATCTTCACATTTGGCAGGATTTTCTATGGTGTCACTTCCAGTGTGGTGTTGGTTCATGATAATGCTCGCCTGCACACCACTAGAAGCACCCAAGAACTTTTGAAGCAGTTCCATTGGGATGTTTTTGGTCACACATACACATCCCATAGTCCAGATTTGGCGTCAAGAGACTACTAAGACGTTACAACAAGTGCCTCAATCTGAATGGCGGTAATAATAATAATAATAATAATAGTAATAGTAATAATAGATAGTGGATGTGGCAGTGCCTGGAGACAGCAGAATAGACGAGAAAGAACTGGAGAACAAAATACAAAGTCCTACAAATAGAAATAGAAAGACTGTGGCAAAAGCAAGCAAGGGTAGTACCAATAGTCATAGGCGCCTTGGGTGCAATCCCTAAACAACTGGAGCACCACTTGAACACCATTGGCATTGACAAATTCGCTATTAGTCAATTGCAAAAGGCGGCCTTACTAGGAACTGCTTCCATCCTGCGACGATACCTGTAATACCATCAAACATCCACATCCGCTTATCCCAGGTCCTGGGTAAGGACTCGATAGATAGACAAAAATGCCAAACCCAGTCTGAACATCTGGCTGACTGTGCGATGATCAATAATAATAATGATAATAATAATAAAGTTGGAAGGGACCTTGGAGGTCATCTAGTCCAACCCCCTGCTCAGGCAGAAACCCTATTCCATTTCAGACAAAAGTCATGTAATGTTGTAGTTTTCTAGTGCCTATAATAGACGTTCTGTTTTTTTTAAGTATTATTAATAATAAGGTTTAAAGGGAGTTAAGTTTTAAGTATGATATTAATTGTTGTATAAATTGTTAAACTTGTTTAGCTTATGATTAGTATATTTGTTAACTTAGTTAGATTATGTTTAATATGTTTGATATACCGTGTATTTGGCTCCGGGAAGTGGGGTGGGGTGGGGGGTGGGGTGAGGGTTATTGGGTTTATTTTGTAACTGTTAATAAATTTTTTTAAATATAATAGACGTTCTGTATCTGTGGATGTCTGTCATTCATAACCAAACGGAGGTCTGTTTCCGAACTGCCCTCATATTGGCTTCCTTGAAGAAACCGCCACCCACCATTCCTGAGAATTGCCATGCTATGCTTGAAACATGACCAAGAGTGGGGGCTGCAGAATCTCCAAGCCTCAGATGTCTTTCTGTAGAAAGCTGTGCTGAAATACCTTGAGTTCTAGAACCAAGCAGACCATCTCAAAAAGGGTCAACAGAAGAAGCACGGCACTCCCACACAAGTCCCCAAGAACAAGCAAGATGGCTGACCTTCATGTTGCCTGGGTGCTGCCTCTCTTGTGGAGACAGGGGACCCTCGGTGCAAGTGACCTCCATAAGCTGCCCCGTGGGCTGTCTGGTGGTCCTCGTAAGCAAGGGGGCTGTGGCGAGGTTTCCCCGGCTCAGAAATAATCATGGGGGCTCCCCGCGTGATGGAGCCACCAGAGTTCGTCACTGGGCTGGGCCTGTTTTTCAAATTGTCCTCGTAAGCTCTTTCCAGCGTCCTTGGGTCCTGCATGGCCTCCATTGGGAGCATGGGATGGAAATTCCTACTGGGGCTGCCAATAATAGACCGGACGTCGTGCTTTTTGGTATTTGTGGATGTGTTTGTGTCGTATTTCAGCGGAGTACCCTGGAAGCGAGAGACGAAAAGAAGGATCAATAAGCTGGCAGACGAAGGACAGGACCAAGCTAAGTTAACATGCCACAATTCATGGATTGGTTTAATTTTAATTCACACGCTGCATTCGATGGGTTGGAACACCCTCAAACGAGAACGTCTTTGGGACATGGTGGTCCAGGAGCTTCCACCTTCTGAGAAGTTCTCCCACCAAGAGAAACTCTTATTTTGGAGCATCTTCTGGGTTCAAGCCCAACTAAGAAAACTCAGCTTTGCTTTGGTCTAGGACAGTGATGGCGAACCTTTTAGGGACCGAGTACCCAAACTGCAACCCAAAACCCACTTATGTATCATCGGGTGCCGGGTGGGCATGGTCCATTGGGTGGGTGTGGCCCACTGGGTGGGCGTGGCTGTGGTGGTAACGGCAGACTGGGTGGGACTAAAAAGTTCAATCAATCTATTCCAACTTTGCGAGATCTTTTTTTACCCCCGCAAGAAGTTGAAATTGATTGAATCTTTTTTTTTTGCACACGGCGGCGGAGGCCTAATGCGAAAAGCTTTTATAAAACCCAGGTGAAGGCCTAGGACTGGGGTAACAGTGTGCATGCCCACAGAGAGGGCTCTGCGTGCCACCTGTGGCACGCATGCCATAGGTTTGCCACCACGGGTCTAGGATTTAAATCAACAGCCTTGGTTTGGAATGAATGGATAGGACAGACCTGTGCTTGCTTGTGAGGCCCCATCCACTGACAAAGCCCAATTCATATCTGTTCTGCTCCCACAACACTCTCAACCCAACTCAATAAGCCATCCCGAAGTCTCACGAACATCAACAGTCGAAACGCTAGCTTCTAAGTTAGGGTTTGTGCAAACCATGGGTTGCAGTCTAGAACTGGAAGGTAGATAGACCCAACTGGTTGACGGTTAGGTATTAAAAATGCAATCCATATTTACCTTACAGTTAGAGAGAAATGCAAAATGAAGGAGGATGCTGTGCTCCAGCATTTTATTTTCTTTTAAGGAAACTCAGGTAAGCTTCGAAGAAAGCTGAAGAAATTTCCAAGTGGGGAAAAAACAGCTTTTTTCTTTAAAGATAATTCAGTTTAGATAAGCTGGGCTCTATTAGAGAGATGCTCTGCACAGAATACAGAATAATAAAGTTGGAGGGGACCTTGGAGGTCACCTAGTCCAACCCCCTGCTCAGGCAGGAATCCCTATACCATTTCAAGTTGTTGTCCAGTCTCTTCTTAAAAATGTCCAGTGTTGGAGCATTCATTGCTTCTGGAGGCAGGTTGTTCCACTGGTTAATTGTTCCAACTGTTGGGAAATTCCTTTTTAGTTCCAGGTTGCTTCTCTCCTTGATGAGTTTCCATCTGTTGCTTCTTGTCCTGCCTTCAGGTGCTTTGGAGAATAGCTTGACTCCCTCTTCTTTGGGGCAGCCCCTGAGATACTGGAACCCTGTTATCATGTCCCCCCTCGTCCTTCTCTTCATTAAACTAGACATACCCAATTCCAGCAGCCGTTCCTTATATGTTTTAGCCTCCAGTCCCCTGATCATCTTTGTTGTTCCTCTCTGCACTCTTTCTAGAGTCTCAACATCTTTTTTTATATATATCGTGGTGACCAAAACTGGATTCATTATTCTAAGTGTGGCCTTAACAAGGCATTATAAAGTATTACCAGCTAGACCAGAGTTTCTCAACCTTGACCATTTTAAGGCATGTGGACTTCAACTCCCAGAATTCCACAGCCAGCAATGCTGGCTGTGGAATTCTGGGAGTTGAAGTCCACAAGCCTTAAAATAGTCAAGGTTGAGAAACATTGAGCTAGACCAAGCTAAATACTTATGGAAACGTAGAACAAGCTAGAAAAAGGCGTTCTTCTGACATTCTTCAAGTCTCTGAAGATCATCAAAGGAGTAGAACAGAATAACAAGAGTTGGAAGGGACCTTCTTGTTCTGCCTTCAGGTCTTTTGGAGAATAGGATGAGCCCCTCTTCCTTGTGACAACCCCTCAAATGTTGGAACACTGCTATGAGGTCATCCCTAGTCCTTCTCTTCATTAGACTAGACCAGGGGTAGGCAACCTTGGTTCTTTTATGACTCGTGGACTTCAACTCTCAGAATTCTTGAGCCAGCTTGGCTCAGCTTGGAAAGCTCTCCCTTTCCCCTCAGCATGGATGGCTCAGGAATTCTGGGAGTTGAAGTCCACAAGTCATAAAAGAGCCAAGGTTGCCTACCCCTGGACAAGACATACCCAATTCCAGCAACTGTTCTTCATATGCTTTAGCCTCCAGTCCCCTAATCATCTCTGCTCATATGGACCTTTTCTTATTATCTAATATAGAATCCAAAAGCAAAGGACGCCCAAACTGCTACACGAATCCAGTCATCTGTTACCCCAAAGCCTGGGAATCACCCCGATCCTGTTGCTATGGAAACAATCACACACACACACACCCCAATTTTACCAGCCAACAAAAGTGGATGTGGTCCAAGCATTGTTTTTGGGAATCTGGAACTAGGAGAACGTTTTCTTGCAAACAGACCCAGAGCTTCAAGGCCGAAGCACCCCAGCAGAGAAGCCTATATTCAAATCCACCGACGGCGATAGATCACATTTGGCAGTTTTGGAACAGGCGGAGTGCCGTTTGGTGTAATGCCAAGCCATAATTCAGCCTCGTGCAAACTAACCGTGGCAGATCTCCAAGGAGAAGTTAAAAACCATCTGTTTACTCTACTTGAATGAAGCTCGTGGTTAAATCTCCCGTGGGTCAAGTTGGGGGTTAATTGAAATGAAGGAATGCGCCCCCTCCATTGTGCTGGGCAGCTGGGGTCCTAGGTCACCAAGAAATGGCCAACTCGGGGTTTTTTTTTTTAATTAAAAGAAAGGAGAACGCTTATCGACACGTTTTTGATTGGCTTAAGGCGGCCCGACACGCAACAACGCGGCCTCTCTTTTTATCCATGCAATTCTTTCATTTCAAATACGGGCCATCCTCAACTTACGATTATCATCGGGACCAGAATTTACATTGCTAAACAAGGTGGATGTTGAATGAGCCATGCCCAGTTTTGCAAGCTTCCCTTTCCCCCCCCCCCCGTTTTTAAGCAAATTACCGCAGCCGTTAAGTGAATCATGCAGTCAGTAAGCTAATCCGTCCTTCCCCATCAACTTGCTGGTCGGAAGGTGCCAGGGAAAGTCGCAAATGGGGATTGTGTGATCCCAAGAGGCCTGCAACTGCCATAAATCATCCTGATTGCCCAGCACTCAAATTTCGATTATGTGACCGTAATGATGTTGTAACGGTCGTTAAGCTGGGGACCAGTTGTAAGCCACTCCCCCCCCGATGCTGTTGTAACTTTGAATAGTCCCTAAGCAAATGGTTGTTAGGTTGAGGATTCCCTTCCTATGAGTGTAATAAAAATTTGATTTATTTCAAGCCATGTGAGATACCTGGGTAATCGACCCTTCAGGTCGAGGATTCCCTTCCTATGAGTGTAATAAAAATTTGATTTATTTCAAGCCACGTGAGATACCTGGGTAATCGACCCTTCCTTAATGGGCCGGGCCATCAGAGAGAGATCGGGCGTGCGACGAAGATCCTCCTTTGGGATTTCATGAATTGATCGCCCGGCTTCCTTCACCGTGGTGACCAGCCCTTCGTGGACCGCTTTCAGCTTCAACGGAGTGAGGGACTCGTGGCTCCTGACCTTGTAGGCTTCTGGTAAGTCCCTCGGTGGTGTGTTCTCCCTCTTGAGTTGCTTGGCTTCTCTTCGGGGATAGTCCTCTGGCGATTCCACGTAGGATCTAGGAATTCCTAAAGGAGAAACACACAGAGAGGACCTGTCAAGTCATCTTCGCCTTCCCTCTAAGAGAGTGGTTCTCAACCTTTTTAATGCCGCGACCCCCAACCGGTCGTAAGTCGAGGACTACTCAACCGGTCGTAAGTCGAGGACTACTCAACTGGTGCAGCACCGTTTGCAGAATGGGACTTTTGGCGGGCTCAGCAGGGCAGAGACAGCCTGGACAATTCCTATTGGCTTTTGAAAGCCAATAGAATTAGACTCTATTCAAGAGAGTCTCTTCTATTGGCTTTCAAAAGCCAATAGAATAAAAGGGAGTAGCACAGCTAAGGAAAAGGGGGAAGAAAATGGCGGACTGCGTTGTTTGGTGACCCCTGTGAAATGGTCGTTCGACCCCAAATGGGGTCCCGACCCACAGGTTGAGAACCACTGCTCTAAGATCAGGGGCCTCCAAACATGGAAACTTTTTAAGAATTCCCCAGCCAGCAAGAAGACATTACCTTAGACCAGGGATGTCCAACCTTGGCAGATTCAGGATATGTGGACTTCAACTCCCTGAGTTCTCCAGCCAGAACTAGAGCTGACCTGATGATTGGCCCAAAGTCACCCAGCCTGCTTTCAGGCCTAAGGTCGGACTAGAACTTATGCTGGCTGGGGAACTCTGGGAGTTGGTCCACAAGTCTTAAAGTTGCTGTTTGGAGTCCCCTGTTCTAGATCAGGGCTTTTCAACCTTGTCACCCATTGTACCACTTTTAGGATATGGCAACATCTGAGGACCACCAGTTGCCCAGCAAGGCGTCAAAAACTTGATGACCCCCCCCAAAAAAAGGAAAAAAGTGATAAAGTACAGGTAGTCCTCGACTTACAACAGTTCGCTTAGTGACTGTTTGAAGTTACAATGGCACTGAAAAAAGTGCCCCCCAAGCCACAGCTGAGCAAGACACCTGCCTGCCCACCCGGCCGCGCTCTTCCTCCTGTCCAAGGTTTTCATTGTTGAGAGAATTTCTGTTCAGGATTGGCAGCGGGGGTGGGGTGGGGGGTGTTTGGTTTTTATTCCCCCCATCTGCTGGGTGGTTGCAGCAGGTTTTGTTCACTTCACATGACCTTGGGACACTGTGACCGTCATAAATACGAATCAGTTGCCAAGCATCTGAATGTAAATCACAAGACCCTGGAGATGCTGCAACATTCCAGCTGATTGGCGCTTCTTCTGGGCTCAGCAGAAGCGCCTGGATCAGCGCCGAGCTCCAGCTGGAGCCTGGCGCTGATCCTGGCGCTTCCGCTGAGCCCTGACAGCCCTGAAGAAGCGCTGATCAGCTGGAAAGCGGCACTGATCCTGGCGCTTCCACTGAGCCCCGACAGCCCTGCGGCTCCAGCCGTCTCTCACTCAGGCTTGTGCGGTGCTGCCACCGGTTCAGCTCATTCCCCTTCCCCACTACCACTTTTCTAGGATGGTCACGTACCACCTGCCAGGTGCCAATGTACCACAGGTGGTACCCGTACCACTGGTTGAAAAGCCCTGTTCTAGACAAGCTAAATGAGACATCTTTCCACCTTGTTTCTTCCTTGACTTAGAAGAATCAACCAGCGTTAAGCTTGGGTGGACAATGGATACCAAGAAAGTATTACCTTCCTTGCGTGATTACCTTGCGTGATGGAGCCTCGGATGTGATGTGGTTCCTTTAAGTTGAGAGGACTGTGTCTTTCGGGAGGCATGGTTCGGCCCATTAAACCTAAAATGACACACACACACACACACACACACACACAACCAAGAAAATAAAATTAAAACAACGATATCTCCAAGCATGTCAATCTTTCTTTCATCAAGATGGAAGTAACTGTTGGAAATGTAAACAAAGGCCAGGTACTTATTATCATATCTGGTGGACATATCCTAAAGCAAAAAAGGTTTTGGGTTAAGATACATGCGTGGTTGGAAAAGATGACTAAAAAACAGATAAGATTTTAAACCAGAACTGTTTTTGTTAGGAGTATTGGGAGCTAATTATGAGAAGGAGAGTGAACATTTAATATTACGTGTATTAACAGCAGCGAGAATTGCATTTGCCCAATATTGGAAAAATGAAAATTTGCCAACTGAAGAAGTATTAATCAAGAAAATTTTAGAATGTGCAGCAATGGATCGATTGACTTTAGCGATTAAAGAGAAAGAAGATTCAGTTTACTTTAGAACATGGGATAATTTCTATCAATGGCTAGGAAAACAAATTAGGGAGAAACGAAGGTGATATGTTATTTTGAATACATACCAGTAAGAAGAATGTTATGGATTGATTAATTAATACTGTCTATGATAACCAATTATACCCACTACTATTATCTATTACTGTAGTAATTATTGTTAACTATACATATCCAGACAATATTCTGTTTGCAAAATATTGAAAATGTTATTGGGGGACCACCCCAATGTTGACCCTAACCCTGTCCTAATCCCAAACCCTAGCCCAACCCCAGTTTAAACCGTAACCCCATTCCCAACCCCATTTTATTCCTAACCCTATAAAATCCAATAAAATTCTTTTTTTAAAAAAAAGATGGAAGTATTTTAGGTTTTGAATACCCTGAAAAGCAGACCGTAGAAAAACAGATTAAAAGGATCTAGGGTTTTTTTTTTTTTTTTGTTCTTGTTGTTTTTAAAACACATTTGCTGCAACCAGGTCTCCAAATTCTGCCATCCCAAAAAACTATGCCTATTTTGAAACTTCTTTCAAAAATTCCCCACAGTGGCTCTGGTTAAGACGGAACGACCAAAGACAAGTGTTGAGTCTGTTTTCAAGAAAAATTCCCGGGGAACTTTCTACATTTTTGCCGTTTCTACCCTGTAGAGGCAATACCCTAAGAAATAATTAAATATTTTTTATCAATACTGCTAGTCCAGGGGTAGGCAACCTTGGCTCTTTTATGACTCGTGGACTTCAACTCCCAGAATTCCTGAGCCAGCCATGCTGAGGGGAAAGGGAGAGGTTTCCAAGCTGAGCCATGCTGGCTCAGGAATTCTGGGAGCTGAAGTCCACCAGTCATAAAAGAGCCAAGGTTGCCTACCCCTGCGCTAGTACTTGTCTTACAATCTGTTCATTTAGTGACCACTCAATGCTACAACAGCACTGAAAACCATGACTTATTGCCGCTTTTCACGTTTATGACAGTTGCAGCGTCCCGTGGTCATGGGATCAAAATCCAGGTGTTTGGCAACTGGCATGTTATTTATGACAGTTGCATGTCCAGAGGTCGTGCGATCATGATTTTCAACCTCCCCAGCTGGCTTCCGACTATCAAAGTCCATGGGGAAGTCACATCTGCTTAACGACTGTATGGTTCGTTCACTTAACAACTGTAGCAAAGAAGTAGTAACGTAGGGCACAACTCGCTCAACAATAGTCTTGCTTAGCAGTGGAAATTCTGGGTTCCGTGCATACTGTAGAACTGCTTTTAAGGTGCTTGTCAAATCCCACCTTCTATATTAGCAGGGGAAAGTTCACGTCCAGATATCAGCCTGGAGGTCCTCCCTTCCATCATGTCGTACGTTCTCTTGGTGATGGTCAACTCCTGCATTGCTGCTGCGCTCCTGCTGCTCTCCTTAGGGGCCTGGTTAGCCACCCCACCTGGAAGAGGAAAGGAGAAGAAAAATGAGGAGAGTAAAGGCACTCCGTGAAGCTCCTTGCACGGAAGGAGTCCTGCCCCGCTAAATAATAATAATAATAATAATGATGATGAAGAAGAAGAAGAAGAAGAAGAAGAAGAAGAAGAAGAAGAAGAAGAAGAAGAAGAAGAAGAAGAAGAAGAAGAAGAAGAAGAAGAAGAAGAAGAAGAAGAAGAAGAAGAAGAAGAAGAAGAAGAAGAAGAAGAAGAAGAAAGAAGAAGAAGAAGAAGAAGAAGAAGAAGAAGAAGAAGAAGAAGAAGAAGAAGAAGAAGAAGAAGAAGAAGAAGAAGAAGAAGAAGAAGAAGAAGAAGAAGAAGAAGAAAGACAAAAAAGTCTGGATAGTGGACGTAGCAGTGCCTGGAGACAGCAGAATAGAAGAGAAAGAACTGGAGAAGATAACAAAATACAAAGACCTACAAATAGAAATAGAAAGACTGTGGCAAAAGCAAGCAAGGGTAGTACCAATAGTCATAGGCTCCTTGGGTGCAATCCCAAACCAACTGGAGCACCACTTGAACACCATTGGCATTGACAAATTCGCTATTAGTCAATTGCAAAAGGCGGCCTTACTAGGAACTGCTTCCATCCTGCGACGATATCTGTAATACCATCAAACATCCACATCTGCCTATCCCAGGTCCTGGGTAAGGACTCGATAGGTAGACAAAATGCCAAATCCAATCTGAACATCTGGCTGACTGTATGATGATCCATAATAATAATAAAGTTGGAAGGGACCTTGGAGGTCATCTAGTCCAAGCCCTGTTCAGGCAGGAAACCCTATACCATTTCAGACAAATGGCTGTCCAGACTCTTCTTAAAAACTTCCAGTGTTGGAACATTCACCATCTCTGGAGGCAGGTTGTTCCACTGGTTAATTGTTCTAACTGTCAGGAAATTTCTCCTTAGTTCTAGGTTGCTTCTCTCCTTGATCAGTTTCCATCCGTTGCTTCTTCTCCTGCCCTCAGGTGCTTTGGAGAATAGCTTGACTCCCTCTTCTTTGGGGCAGCCCCTGAGATATTGGAAGACTGCTATCATGTCTCCCCTCATCCTTCTCTTCATTAAAGTAGACATCCCCAATTCCAGCAACCGTTCCTTATATGTTTTAGCCTCCAGTCCCCTGATCGTCTTTGTTGCTCTTCTCTGCACTCTTTCTAGAGTCTTTTTTACATCCTGGTGACCAAAACTGGATGCCGTGTTCCAAGTGTGGCCTTACCAAGGCCTTGTAAAGTGGTATTAATACTTCATGTGATCTCGACTGTATCCCTCTGTTAATGCAGCCCAGCATTGTGTTGGCTTTTTTGGCAGCTGCAGCACACGGCTGGCTCATGTTTAAGTGATTGTCCACTAGGACTGGTCTACACCAGGACTGTTTCTATTAAACCGGAGCAGCAAACACCAGCTGTCCCTTGGCAACAACCCACACAATGTGCCTTGACTCCTGAACCTTGTCACCTTGATTCTGAACCTGGACTGGCTCACGAATCTGCTACAGACTCAGCTCCTCGGACGCCACCGGATGACTCTCCAGTGTGCCACTACTCATGCAAGTAGAATCACAGAGTTTGAAGGGACCTTGGAGGTCATCTAGTCCAACCCCTCCTGCCCAAGCAGGAGACCCTACCCCATTTCTGACAGATGGCCTCCAGTGATGAAGCTCCCACAACTTCTGAAGGCAACTCCTGTTCCACTGGTTGATGGTTCTCACTGTCAGAAGATTTCTCATTCTTTCTAGGTTGAATCTCTCCTTGATCAGTTTCCATCGGTTATTCCTTGTTGGCCTTCAGGTGCTTTGGAAAATAAGTTGACCCCCTCCTCTCTATGGCAGCCCCTCAAATATTGGAGCACTGCTATCAGGTCTCCCCTGGTCCTTCTCTTCACTAGACCAACCATGCCCAGTTCCTGTAACCATTCTTTGTAGGTTTTAGCTCCAGTCCCTTAATCATACTTGTTGCTCTTCTCTGCACCCTTTCTAGAGCTAAGTTTACAGTTATGGCATTTAAGCTAAGAATGAGTTATATTGATGTATTTATCTGAAGAGCTGCTTCTTTGCATTTACTATAGATCAGGGGTGTCAAACTCAATTTCATTGAGGGCCGCATCAGTATTGTGGTTGCCTTCGGGGTGTGTGTGGCCAGAGTGGGTGCGGTCTACTGGGTGGGCATGGATGGAGTGGGTGTGGCCTACTGGGTGGGTGTGGTCAGCACTACATCGTTCATGTCAAGGGTGACTGTGGGGCCCTGGGCAGGAGTGGGACAGATCTGAGGGTCTCTGGCAGAAGGGGGTGGGACCGGGGCAAGCGCCAAGGCATGGTGCATTTCTTCATTCCTCACAAAGGGGGACACCTCCCCAGCATGCACCCAGGGCCGGGGCCGACGCGGCAGGGGCTGGTTCCTCGCTGTTTCCAGATGGTCTTGTGGAGCTAAGACTGAATGCGTTTCAGCATAGATGGCCACCACAAAATTGTACATTGGCTCCCGACCGACCTGGGCCAGGGCCAAGGCAGTGGGGGCCGTTCCCTCACTGTTTCCAGGATGGCTTCGTGGGCCACATGAAACCACTTCGCGGGCCGCATCCAGCCCCTGGGCCTTTGACACGTGTGCCCTAGAGTCTTGACATCTTTTTTGTAGTGTGGTGACCAAACCTGGTTGCAGTATTCTAGGGGTGGACTTACTAAGGCTTTATAAAGTGGCATTAGTACCTCACCGATCTTGATTGAATCTTGTTAATAACTCTTAGAAATGAAGAACTTTGCAGGGAAAATTTTTTCTCTATCTTGTATGCTCGTTTGTTTGCAAGACTCGTTTGTCTACGGAGGTTTCCAGTCGTCCCGGTCCTGGTTGCCCCAAAGGTGTTTTTTTTCAAAAGGCAACTGGAGATTGTTTTTCCTTGAAGACGTTTCTCATCCAAGAAGCTTCCACCAACTGTAGATCCTCTCAAAGCCACAGAGTCAGCCATCGGAAACGATCAACTGGCAGCCCAGAGGCAGAACAATTATGGATAAAGTTAAGCCCGGTGCCAAAACAACCCCTTTCAACTTCGTAATTCAAAAAAGGAGAGCAGTGACTTCCTTAGAAGAGACCCAGACTTCACAATTTTGCCAGCTGCCAAAGGAAGATGCACCGTTACCGCAAAGATGCTTTTTCAGGAGGCAACTGGACTTTCTTATTTTTCTTTGAAGATGTTTCCCTTCTCATCCGAGAAGCTTCTTCAGCGCCGACTGGATGGTGGGGAATGGAAGGATTTGTACTCCTTGCAGACAGCTGGTCATTTGTGTTCTTTTTAGAGAGTCGTTGAGGCCACTTGGAGGCTTATCTGTGTCCTCAGGGTCATCTGAGGAGGGCAAATGGGTGTGGATTCTTCTTGGAACTGCTGAAAGGACTGTGTGGTAGACTGGAGATAGATGATGTCTTATCTTTCCCCCTCTGTTGAGAGACGGCTGGTCAAAGAATATAAATCCTTCCATTCCCCACCATCCAGTCCAGTGGTTCTCCACCTGTGGGTCGGGACCCCATTTGGGGTCGAACGACCATTTCACGGGAGTTGCCAAACAACACAGTCCTCCATTTTTTTCTCCTTTTCCTTAGCTGTGCTACTCCCTTTTCTTCTATTGGCTTTGGAAAGCCAATAGAATAGATTCTCTTGAATAGAGTCTAATTCTATTGGCTTTCAAAAGCTAATGGGAATTGTCCAGGCTGTCTCTGCCCTGCTGAGCCTGCCAAAAGTCCCATTCTGCAAACGGTGCTGCACCAGTTGAGTAGTCCTCGACTGACGACCGGTTGAGTAGTCCCCGACTTACGACCGGTTGGGGGTCGCGGCATTAAAAAGGTTGAGAACCACTGGATTACGGTATGTACAAGGATCAGCGTTTACCACAGCTGACGTGCCCTATGGGGCCCCATGTATAAAGCAAATAAGCAATAAAGTCTTCTGGGGCAGACAGCCATCTGCCTCTCCCGTTCGGTTCCATCCACCAGGAAATTCCTGGGGACAGAGGGAAAAAAAACAAAAAACAGCAACCCTATATTCTTCCTATGCGATCCCATCTTCCTTTTCCAATCACCCAGCCCTCCGTCTTCCAAAAAAAAACAGCCTCACGTTTTGAGACACAGGAGGTGTGTGTCTCTCTCTGTGTGTGTGCAAGTGTGCCAGAAAGTTATGGCTGCATCCTGTCATCAAGGAACATCTGCGCCAAAGTGCTTCTAGGGCGAGAGGGAGGAGAGATGGGGGCCAAGAGAAAGAAAATGCTTCTGTAAACACTTCCCTGCTTCTTCCAGCCATTATCCCCCGTTAAGAATCGCCAATCTTGTGCAATTCAGCCGGGAGACGGCTGCAAAATTTCACCTCATTAGAGACCTTTTATTGGAGAAGTACCGTCACGGCATCCAGGCACCGGCAGTGGGGCTGTTTTCCCGCCTCCCACCGGCCCCCCAATCACCCCCTTCCTGCACATCTGAACACAGAGTCGGCAGATGTCCTGATTTCTTTCATTTCCTAGCACTACGGCTAAGCTTCCAAGGAGAATCTTAAAACCTTGTTTCGTTTTTGAAAAAAAAAAAAAAATAGAAAAATGTGATTTTTCTTCCTTAAGTACAGCAGATGTCCAGGTGGTTACTTGGGGTGAGCGAAAAAGCCAGCCATTCCTGGTAAAGGAAGCCTGGATCTGAATCAGAATAGAGCTGGAAGGGACCTTGGAGGTCTTCTAGTCCAACCCCCTGTTCAAGCAGGAGATCCTATACCATTTCAGACAAGTGGCTGTCCAGTCTCTTCTTGAAAACCTCAAGTGATGGAGCACCCACGACGTCTGGAGGCAAGCTGTTCCACCGGTTAGAATAGAATAGAATAGAATAGAATAGAATAGAATAGAATAGAATAGAATAGAATAGAATAGAAGAGAAGAGAATAGAAGAGAATAGAATAGAATAATAAGAATAGAATAGAATAATAGAATAGAATAGAATA